TCCTCACTTGACTGATTTTGTTGCTGCTCTCCTTTCCTTTTAACATWCTGAARTGACAGAACACCAAGGACAGAAATKAAGAGTTCCTGATGCAGAACCAATTAGGCAAATAAACAATTACCAAGACAATGAAAACTAAGGGAATAAGGAGATTTATTTTTTGGTATTAAAAATCGRTTGAGATTCCAATTGCATTGTTTGTTGCAATGAGGCCTCCTTAGGTAATTGTCAGAAGGGCAGTTCCTCCTGAAGAAAAAAGGCTTTATTAATCCCAAACACACATCTGGAGGGGACTAACAAGTCAGCCGGTTACAGCAGCAGCACCGCAGAACTGTGGAAGCAAAAATAGGAATAGGAAGKRGGAATTAAAATCTCTCTGTAAATGYGATTGCCTCTAAAGAAGACTATGAYRAGGAGGAGTAAGTGGAGGCAGAGACTGAGCTCGATGCCTTTTCCATGGAGGAGAACACCTTCCACTAAAGCAGGCTGCTCCAAGCCCCATCCAGTTTGGGMTGAACASTTCCAGGGATGGGACAGGCAAAGGTGCTCTGGGGAAATGGAATCATTGCCTCACCACCCTTCCTTTTKGACTTTCTTGGCTCTCACAAACCATCCCATCCTGCTGCATGGCTAATGGGTGTTAGCCCAGCCTGTTCCACTGCCCAGACACACACATCACCACATTTCTCATGTCCCAGTCACAACTGGAGGCTCACAATTGAGCCCACACCTTCTCCAGAACCATCCTCTCCCATTTCTCATCCCCTGCTTGTGTCTGGCCATACCATACCATTTTTATTGCTGTCTTCCTCCTCACTCTCTTCACTCTCCTGACCAGACTGGGTTTCCATTTCTTCTTTTCTGTCGTCCTCTTCAGTTTCCTCAGTTTCCACAGTTTCACCAACAGTTTCCTCACTTGCCTCTTGAGCCGGTAAGATGACAGACAGTGAATCCTGCCCTGATTTCTGCTCGAAGGGAATACTGTTGCTGCTKGGCTCACTGTGCACAGCACACTCCCAGGAGCTCTCAGGCACCTTCTCCTCCTGGAACTCCCTCTTCCTCTTGGGAGGGGATGGCTTTTTGTCCAGACCCAGCTCAAGAATGCACCTATRAAATAATGAATTGGGATAAATCACATTTTTCTGCCTATGAACAATGGAGAGCAACAGACACAGTGAGTTCAGCTCATTATTAACAGTGAAATCATTATATCTGCCTCTGCACTGCCACAATGACTCATGAAGAGAAGCCCCCTGAAATCCCTGAGAGCTTCCCCAAACAGATGCACCTTTTCCTTGAAGAGAATAATGCTGCCCACACTGCAGGTGACAGCTGAGATAT